TAATGGTACCTCATTGTGGTTTTGATTTGCATTTCTCTGATAATGAGTGATGTTGAGCATCTTTTCATGTGTTTGTTAGCCATCTGTATGTCTTCTTTGGAGAAATGTCTGTTTAGTTCTTTGGCCCATTTTTTGATTGGGTCATTTATTTTTCTGGAATTGAGCTTCAGGAGTTGCTTGTCTATTTTTGAGATTAATCCTTTGTCTGTTGCTTCATTTGCTATTATTTTCTCCCAATCTGAGGGCTGTCTTTTCACCTTACTTATAGTTTCCTTTGTTGTGCAAAAGCTTTTAAGTTTCATTAGGTCCCATTTGTTTATTTTTGCTTTTTTAATCCCCTGGTATTGAGACTTGATTTGGCTGCAGGCTGCGAGGAGGCTAGCTGAATTCTGAAATATACTCAATCCCAGAATCCGGGCTGCCCTCCTAAGCAGTGAGGTCTTTTATGAACCAATCTTAGTATTCCCTCTCTAAAATACATCCCAACCTATTTTAAATTTAGAAGGAAAATATTTTGGGGGATGAAATGAATTTATGACACTTCATTTTTACTCCTATCTTAATATGTAATTGTTGTAAGGAGATGACAATATATGACAAATTATAAACAAAATTGCTTGTGTCTATAAAAGCAGACATTTGAGTAGCTCATCTTATGCTCTGTCTTTTATTTTAGGCTTAATTTATGCTTGTAAAAGACCATAAGAATAGAGATGAGGATTATAAACAGTAGTTATATTCTTATTTTTAATGACTTGTGTTCTGCTGTGTTAATAATTTTGTCTTTTTGCAACTATTATCCCTATGTTTTCATCCTCTTCTTCAAAAAAATAGTTTCACTTGTACAGAATGGTTATAATTTTATCTTTGTTCTATGGTGGAATACTTAAGCTGTAAAAGTCATTTGTTACAAAATTAAAGCACATTTTTCAATCCTCAAAAATTGTATCATTAATTTTTTAGATTTTGCCAATTGTGGATTTTCAGACACAGTTGAATCTGACCATGGCAGAAGGTAAGCAGGCTTTTCCTCAACAGTGTGAAGCTCAGAATTAGTTTGGGGTCATTGCTTGAGAATAACCAATAAAATAAGGTTGTAGTGGAGGACCAGCTGATGAACTGGGTGAACTTCTTAGCTTGACAATCTAAACTGTTAGTCATAAGGAAGGAAAGGGTGTTTACAGTGGAAGTGGTATGTAATGTAATTGGTGGAAGCTGAATCACTCTTTATGGACTCAGTGGAGTATTTTGAGATTTTGAAGATATTTATAGGTTTATATTATAATAATAGGTCCTCACATCCCATTTAAAGTACCTAAGTTTCTGTTTCACTTAGTTCTTAATTATAAGGGAGTATGAATTGATTTATCTAAAGTTACTTTTTCATAACTCTCGAACTAAAATTAGGCATATGCAGACATCTGACGAAGTGTGGATATTTAGTATCCCTTTGATATTCCTTGACACAGTCTCAGATCCTTAAGTTACTTGGTTAACAGTTTTTTCTTGCTGGAATACAAAAGTGAATTCTGCATGGTCTTGACTTGGACTTCTCTCTATGAAATCTCTATAAATGTGCAGATTAGAGAAATTTTAGATGACCCCAAGGTGGCAAAGTGTCATGATGAAAAATGACACCTTTGGAACTGAGTAGATATGGGTTTGAATATGAGCTTAGAAACCATATGTCCACAGAAAAAGTGTTTGTTCCCTATAAGTTGCTCTTTTCTCATCTATAAAGTAAGTATATAGCCTCAATTTATAGGAGTCCATATGAATTAAATCCAGTGATATATACAGAGAATTCTATAAAGCATCTGATGCTTGAGAAAAGGGCAATAAATTGTATATGTATTCTTATTCCATTTGGTATAGTCTTATAATTTCAGTTTAAAATTTTTGCTTTCTGAGTATACACATCATCCAGAAAACTTTCTTTTGATATTATGTCTTGGAAAATAAGTAATAAAGATAATATTAAAGAATTTTAGTAATATAAGTCCTAATTACTGAAATTCCCAGCAATCTCGTGTAGTATCTTCTTGTGATATCTTAATATCACATTGATATTTCAGGATCTACATAGGCACACACTGTTGTGAACCCCTTTTGTTTTTTAAAATTGTTTATGGTTCTGTTATTTGTAAGTAGTTTTGTTTTACAGTTACAAATAATTTTTCAATAGCATTAAGTAGAGAAAAGAATCAGATGAGTGTGTATCATTATATCTTACCATGGAAAGCATACTAAGTGTGTTTGAACAGTGGTTTCACGTTCCCCCTATGACCCAAGAGAAGGCTATTAAGCGTGGCGCTCTACCCTATGGAAGACCCAGAGTTCTCCAGAACAGCACTGTCTGTCTGCTTTATCAGCACCAGTTTGTGAGTGGCTATAGCCATGACATCCTGATGCCCCTTTGGACATCCTACACCATCGACAGAAATGCAAGTATTTGTCACCTCTTTGCCTCTGTGTGGTTATTTTATATTATTACTAAGCAAAACTTTGACAGCATTATTTCTCACTGTCAATCTCGGCTCTGTAACCAGCTCCCAAATTAGAAGATCACTGAACTGAAAGTCAGAAAAATTAGGTCCTGGTTCTAGCTTGGCCACTGACTAGCTCCGTGACTTTGACATTCAGAGCAAACCTTTGTGAAATGAGGGTATGCAGTAAAGGTTTCTCCCAGGCTTTGGTTTTTATTTTTTTCTTGGTTTTAATATTTGATGATGTTAATTTCTAATTTCATGAGATCACTTTTACAATCAATTACAGTTAAGTACACAGCTGTGTAAGTACAAGGATTTCCCTCAGCTGCCCAAATCTTGGGCCCTCGAGGATGGAGGAGGACATGGAAGCTCAGTAACCTCACTGCGTCTCCCACCTACAGGGAGACCTCCCAGAGCAAATCAGGAAGAGGCCTGGGGTCCTGTCCCCCACCCAGACTAGAGGAGCTCAGCCTCGAAAGGAGCCAGGATGTTCCAGAATAAGACCACCATTCTCCCTCACGCTCACCCCCTGGATGCTGTGGTAGCAAGATAAATGAGGAAAGAAATAGAGCTTGAGAGAGAGAATGAGGGCAGGAGATGAGGCTTACATCTTATCTGGAAATAAAGTTTTAACTAGTTCTTCACTCCCTAAGTCATGTCCGACTCTGCGACCCCATGGACTGCAGCACGCCAGGCTTCCCTGTCCTTCACTGTCTCTTGGAGTTTGTTCACACTCAACTCCGTTGAGTCAGTGATGCCATCCAACCATCTCATCCTCTGTCGCCCTCTTCCCCTCCTGCCCTCATTCTTTCCCAGCATCAGGGTCTAAACCAGACTGACCAGATTTTCAGAAACTGAAAATGGCTGGTAAGATATACGATAGATATAAGGGATATCTTATCTTAAGGGATAGGAAGGGGATTTGAGAGAGCTTAGTTGACTATAGCAGTTAGATTTTAAAAACACAGTTATTGTTTCTACTCACTAAGATTGTTCACGTATATGTCATTTTTGTATCTGTGTGTAGAGAGAATACATACACATTATTTCTCACTGTCAATCTCGGCTCTGTAACCAGCTCCCAAATTAGAAGATCACTGAACTGAAAGTCAGAAAAATTAGGTCCTGGTTCTAGCTTGGCCACTGACTAGCTCCGTGACTTTGACATTCAGAGCAAACCTTTGTGAAATGAGGGTATGCAGTAAAGGTTTCTCCCAGGCTTTGGTTTTTATTTTTTTCTTGGTTTTAATATTTGATGATGTTAATTTCTAATTTCATGAGATCACTTTTACAATCAATTACAGTTAAGTACACAGCTGTGTAAGTACAAGGATTTCCCTCAGCTGCCCAAATCTTGGGCCCTCGAGGATGGAGGAGGACATGGAAGCTCAGTAACCTCACTGCGTCTCCCACCTACAGGGAGACCTCCCAGAGCAAATCAGGAAGAGGCCTGGGGTCCTGTCCCCCACCCAGACTAGAGGAGCTCAGCCTCGAAAGGAGCCAGGATGTTCCAGAATAAGACCACCATTCTCCCTCACGCTCACCCCCTGGATGCTGTGGTAGCAAGATAAATGAGGAAAGAAATAGAGCTTGAGAGAGAGAATGAGGGCAGGAGATGAGGCTTACATCTTATCTGGAAATAAAGTTTTAACTAGTTCTTCACTCCCTAAGTCATGTCCGACTCTGCGACCCCATGGACTGCAGCACGCCAGGCTTCCCTGTCCTTCACTGTCTCTTGGAGTTTGTTCACACTCAACTCCGTTGAGTCAGTGATGCCATCCAACCATCTCATCCTCTGTCGCCCTCTTCCCCTCCTGCCCTCATTCTTTCCCAGCATCAGGGTCTAAACCAGACTGACCAGATTTTCAGAAACTGAAAATGGCTGGTAAGATATACGATAGATATAAGGGATATCTTATCTTAAGGGATAGGAAGGGGATTTGAGAGAGCTTAGTTGACTATAGCAGTTAGATTTTAAAAACACAGTTATTGTTTCTACTCACTAAGATTGTTCACGTATATGTCATTTTTGTATCTGTGTGTAGAGAGAATACACACACACATTCACATATGTACGGAAAGTTTCTACCTTAATATGATTTTTAATTTTTGAAGAACATCTTCAAACATTTCAAACACTTTTTAATTGACTTTGTAATATTGAGTTCGCCAAAAACTTGATTTGTGGTTTTCCATAACATCTTCAAAACACCCAAATGAACTTTTTGGAAAACTCAGTATATAGCTTTTTACCCAGTGTTTTGTAGGTCCCCATCCTATTTATTATAGTTTAATGTCTTAATTATAATGTCCTTGGACTCTGTTTGAATTTTCAGTTTTCTTATATAATGAAAGCTGCAAAAATTGAGTCATCACTACTCATGAGGTTTTCATATCAAATTACTGTTCAGTGGCTTTCCCCCACTGCCCGCGCCCCGCCCCCCCAACTTTTGGCTGTGTTTTACTATGAAAGAGTCTGATCTCTAAAAATCAGCAATTCACTACACAAAAGTTAGAAACTGAATAGACAAAAATATTATAAACAAAAGTAGCACAACATGGTAGGAAAAATTTGCACATATATGACAACTGATTAATATCCTTAATATTATAAAGAGTTTTTACACTTTGGTTAGAAACAAGATGAATACACTAACAGAAAACTGAAAAGTGGAGCAGGGCATGAACAGACAACCAGAACTCCATAATTTTATGATGTGGTTTACCTTTGATTTATTATAAAGCTCTAGTGTTTTGTTCTGTTCTGTATGCCTCATCCCTCATTGTCCTTTTCATTTTGTTCTTCAGGACAGTTTCTTTACAGAAGACTTTTCCAACTGTCTTTACCAGGATCTCCGAATTCCTCTTAGTCCTGTCCATAAATGTTCATTTTATAAAAATAACGCTAAACTGAGCTATGGGTTCCTCTCTCCACCACGTAAGTCTCTTCCTCTCTGCTGTTCCCTTTCCCTTATGTTTTTTCTTTCTTCCATTTCCTTTTCTTTCTTATGGGGAAGTGTACATCTTGTTTATTTATTGGTGAAAACTGTGACTGGGGAATAGAACTATGAGGGACATTTTTCAAGTATCTAAAACTTGAGTTTTGGAAACCTGTTTACTTTTGTTTGGAGGGTGATGGATTTAGGGTAACCACTGTAGATAGAACATTCTTCACTTTTCTACATTTCTTTTAAACAGAATTTGAGAAACTCAGTTCAAAAGGATGCATCAGGGTTCTTAGGAAGGAGATAACCATTTTGTTGTTTAAAAAGAAAACTCTAATTTGTCAAAGAATGAGGTAAAGGGAGAACCCGAGTTTCCTTGCTCTTTCACTGATACAGGCCCCTGGGAAATGGCTTTTTTTTTTTTAATCTTGTTCTATTTTTTCAAGTGGCAGATCTGTATGTTAATGAGAAGACATTTTGAGGCCAGCCTAAAAAGGAAAAAGTCAGAGGACTCCAGTCAATACGCTCAATATCCAGTCCAGTCCCCAGAGCAAGCTTCTGAAGTCAGAACTTGGCTTTTGCGTTATAAAAATAGGTCCAAGCCAGAAGTCCATACAAAGAAGCCTTGTATAGCATTTCAAGGCAGACATCCCTTGTGATGTTTTTTTCTGGTTAGTAGGTGTTCTGAAGCCAGATGTTCTCTTTTTTCTTTTTTCTGTGAAAGAGTTCAAGGAAAGATTGTTGACACAATATACTTTAGTTGAAAATAAGGCAAATGAGGTAAAATTTGAATATGTTTCATTTGGGCCCTTCATATTAAAGATTTCGTTTCTTTGATAAATTCATTTTGAAGAAGAAAAGATCCAATTTTTTTTTAAGGGACCTGATCACATTGCATTTCCCGCCTTGATCTAGTACCTGGGAAAGTTTTACGAGTTTAAGATGATAACCCATTTTTTTAAGTACCCCCATGAGAAAGTATAGCTCTTACTGTGATTTGTAAAGATTGAAATAGTTGTTCTTGTTATTTTCTTTGTAGAATTACATAAAGGCTCAAGTCAAGTATATTCTGAAGCATTACTTACTACTAATATAGTGCCTATGTACCAGAGTTTTCAAGGTAAAATTTTTAATCTTATATCTCATAGTTTCAAATGAATTTCCCAAAATTATAGGTATGATTTATATGTAAATGACTGATCCTCCAAATTAAATGACTAAACATCAAAGATGTTCTTATAGGTTTGTTTAACTTAGAAAATACCAGTACACAAAAAATCCTACAAGTATTGAATTATGATATAGTCCCATATTTATTATTATGCTTTATATTTACAAAAACTTTTATATTTAGATTTTATATATATATTTATATTACAAACACTTGTGGGAAAAGAATGTAATGTTCTTCCTAACTTATCTAGCTAATGTAATCTACTAATATATATTAAATTTCAGTCTGTTGCCTTATTTAACTATTTAGAAGTTCTTGATAATTGTTTTTAATTTAAAATGAATGGATTTTACATCATTATTAATTGTTGCAGCTATTGGCTTTTTTAAGAATAATACACATTTATACTTTAAGTAACTTACAGAGCATACAAGGAAAATTTTACTGTAGTTTACCTCTGGAATGCTTTTGAATAGTTCAAAATTCTCTAGAATATTTCCAAAAAAATACAGATGTTAACAATAAATTTGAATAGCTTGCCTTGTTTGTGTTCTTATATTTTTTATGCTTAGTGATATGTGATCTCAGCTTCGTGATAATGCATATGTTTAGGGATGCCTGAAGTAGAATTGAATTCAGCGTTTGCTGGTTAGTCTTTCCAAGAGCAAAAGCTGAACAATGGATTTTTGGCCAGACTTCACTTTATCCCTACTTATGACAAATGCTAAATTTGATTCATAATTTGACCCATAGTTGATTTATGTCATCTTGTTCTTTTGACACTGTAGCATCTTCCTTCTTGTTTCAGTTATATGGCACTACTTGCATGGCACCTTACTGCAGAAGTATGCTGAAGAAAGAAATGGTCTCAATGTTGTCAGCGGTCCTGTGTTCGATTCTGATTATGACGGACGTTATGATTCCTTGGAGACTCTGAAGCAGTAAGAACATATTTCATTTACTCTTAAATACTGCTCTCAAGTGGGACTACCATCCAGTTGAGTCAGCAGAACCTCTTCTATCTAACTATTCATATTTGTGTAGCTGACATTTCTGATTATGCAGGAAGCACCTTGAAATAGCTGATTAATTTTGATGTTTTGATATTCAGTAAAATATTTTTTAGATGAAAGTAGTGTTTATCCCCCACTCAGCTTAGGTGAATAATTCTATAGCTCATATTAAATACTGAACTCTGCCTTTTGTTAAGAAGATAACAACAGTGTTTAAAATCTCTTTCTGTGGCTGTTGTGAAGGTGCCTTTTTAACTAGCAAACTGCCAGTTTCAAGATAAATAATGGAGCCATAGTGCCGCAGTGTTGCCGTAGGTTGAGTGTCGCAGCTTTCCGTTTTATCCAACTCTGCTGCGAGGGGAATTTGTTGCAGGAACGAAAGTGGGGTGGAAGAGGATGGCATGTCCCAGATCACTTCTGAGTCCCTGGGATGGCCACCAAGTGTGGGTTGCTGGCTCCACACAGGAAGGACTTCCAAGAGCGAGCCATAGTAAAGAGAAATGAGGTTTATTCAGGGAGATACACACTCCATAGACAGAATGTGGGCCATCTCAGAAGGCAGGAGGCCCCAGGGTATGGAGTGTCTAGTTTTTATAGGGGTGGGTAATTTCACAGGCTAATGAGTGGGAGGGGGTATTCCAGCTCTTTTGAGGAAGGGGTGGGTATTTCCAGAAATTGGGCATTGCCCACTTTCTCATCTTTAGAGTCAGCCTTGGGACTGTCATGGCGCCTGTGGGCATGTCATTTGGGGTGCTGATGTGTTGCAGCAAGTGTATACTGACCCCCAAGGTCTAGTGGAATTTGAATCGTCCGCCACCTTGGACCTAGTTTGTTCTAACCAATTTATGTCACCTCCTTGGACTATGTTATGTTTTTAAAGGTTGTGCCCTGCGCCCTTCCAGTCTCAAATGATACACTGACCTTCTTGAGAAACCATCAGTGGTGCTTTCATAAAGGAAAGGGGAAGAACATTTTAGAGATTGGTTGATCTTCATTAAAACAATTGCAAAATTTTTGGAAGCAATTTTGGTTCTTCAGTCTATGAGAAAAGTGGAGTGAAACCTACACTGGGATTTGCCCCTTTCTGAGAACCACTCCCTCAGGCTGACTTAGAGGTTACTGTTTATACATGTACACCTGTGACCACATCATTTGTAAAATTATATTTTTAATATATTCTTTAAGGCATAAGGATCCTATGTAAATGCCTCAGAGGAAGCAGCAGGAGAATGGGTAGAGAAGAGAACTTATTCCTTTCCCATTCACAGCTTCAGCTGGAACACATTTTAATCTGCTTTGTGTATAGTGGTTCCACATAAGATTGTGTTTGTTTGTTTTTTTAATGATACCACCACTACCTTAAATTTTGACAGATAACTAAAAAACCAAATGAATTTACTTTTTTTTCCCCCAAACAAATCTAGTCTTCAGATCTAAGGAAATAGAATTAAGATGAGGTAAAGGTGTCACTTGGGACATCTTTGAGAATATACTTTAATTAAAAACAAAAAGTAAAAACAAAGTTATAGGATAGGAAAGAAGATCCAGTTAAAACAACAGCTGCTCTGAAGGAGCTGGAATGAAAAAATCTCAAACCAGTTCTCTCTCTTTCCCTCTCTGTTCGTAACTGCCTGGAGTTTAAAAGATTCTCAGTAATGCTTTAGAGTCTTGATTGTACATTTTCAAAATTGATGATTTTTTCCCTTAGTGTCTCAGTTTCAATATGTTAAGGTAGGATTACCAAAAAAATACAAAGTTTTAATAAATTTCTATAAAAAGTCACATTATTTGGATTGTGTTTCTATGTCTTTTAATTCTTCTTTCTCCATCTGGCAGAAAATGTTGAGGTATTATGATGACTAACTTCTTACAGTATGTTTAATTATTTGAATTTCATTGGGGGATATATTGTATTAAAAATATACCTGAGTGAGATAGTCATTAAAGGGAAGATAGTTATTTTTTTCTTAAAGTGCATATTACCGTATTTTACAGAAACAGCAAAATCATCCGTAAACAGGAAGTTCTGATTCCAACTCACTTCTTCATTGTGCTAACAAGTTGTAAAAACACATCCCAGACTCCCTTACAGTGTGAAAATTTAGATCCCTTGGCTTTCATTTTGCCTCACAGGACTGATAATAGTGAAAGCTGTGCGGTAAGTGGCCTTTGTAATTTATCTTTAAGCATTGATATATAAATATATTTGTGCATGTCTTACATCTGACATGCACATTACTGTGGGAAAAGAAGACATAAGTAGAACATACATGTTTCAGACTATAGAATGGTTTTAAACTTGATCCTCTTAGTTTATTCAAAGAAGATCATTCTTGTCTGTTAAAAGCACTAACAGTAAGATCAAAATGTAAAAACTTAGTTGACGTCATATGGCTTAGCCACTAAATCCATGTATAAATTCTGGGCCCTTCCCTGGAAAAAAAAAGGGCTGCAATAGATTTATGCTTACATTTCACTAACCAAACTGATGTTAAGTGCCTTGAATTAGGTGTTAAGTTCCTTTTCCATCTGTACCATTCCAAAAGCTATTATACCGATAACTTAAATTTAACAAATTCTATAAAGGCAGTGTAACTAGAAGACACTGAATATTGGACTTGAACTAGAAAGTGAATCCTTTGAAGGTGTATCACATATAATTGGTCTTCCCTGGTCGCTCAGATGGTAACAAATCCACCTTCAATGCGAGAGACCTGGGTTCGGTCCCTGGGTTGGGAAGATCCCCTGGAGAAGGGCATGGCAACCCACTCCTGTATGCTTGCCTAGAGAATCCCCATGGACAGAGGAGCCTGGTGGGCTACAGTCCCTGGGGTCACAGAGAGTTGGACACGACTGACCGACTAAGCACAGCACATATACTTACTGACCCCTCCTGTTTCATGTCTGATACAGTGACCAAGGATTAGCTGGATGTTGGCCTGAGAGAACAGATGGCTTTTATTTATTCATGTAAATGCTGGAACAGATGGCCAATATCTACTGGCCGAGTAGTCTACTGAGTCAGGCTCTGCCCTTGAAAGCCAGGGTGAGGGTCGCTGGAGTGGAGGAGACCGAGTGAAGCAGCTTCCGGGTAGTGGATGATTGGAAGCTGATGGGAAAATGGAAATTATTGATCTGTTCCCTTTTATGTGAAAAGTCTGTATTTATTATTTGCAACTAATAATATCGTCAGGGCACATGAACCTTTATTGAAGTATGTCTTTAAAGTATAATCATAGCACACCAGCCAGTGGATGTGTTCTTCATCTGACTTTCTCCAGTGGCCATTTTCAGAAAAATTTACACCGACATATGGGTGTATGATTTCCATCTCTGCTTCCATGTGCCAGAGCATAAGTCTTTAATTCTTTTTTGGTCTCGTATTAGCTAGAACTTCACTACTTCACCAGAAGTGAAAGTGTGTTTTTCCACTTCCCCTAACCCTTTCTTCATTTCAACTATGTAGATAACTGATTCTGATAAGAACTAGCATTTGTATAGCTCATTTGCACACAGCATTGTGTTTGATCTTCAGAACAACCCTGTGAGGAGGGCGCAGGTAAAAGAATTAGTATTCAGATGTTAAATAACTTGCCTCAGTTTACCTGGTAGGATAATGGTAGAAGTAGAACTTGAGTCCAAGTTGTTGTTCAGCCACCCAGTCATTCTGACTGTTTGCAGCTCTATGCACTGCAGCATGCCAGGCCTCTCTGTCCCTCACCATCTCCCAAAGTTTGCCCAAGTTCATATCCATTGCATCAATGATGCCATCCAGCCATCTCATCCTCTGATGCCCTCTTCTTTTTCTGCCCTCAATCTTTCCCAGCATCAGGGACTTTTCCAACGAGTTTGCTGTTCGCATCAGATGACCAGAATACTGGAGTTTCAACTTCAGCATCAGAGCTTCTAACCAGTATTCAGAGTTGATTTCCCTTAAGATTGACTGATTTGATCTTGCTGTCCAAGGGGCTCTCAGGAGTCTTTTCCAGCACCATCATTTGAAGGCATCAGTTCTTCAGCATCAATCCAAGTTCCTTTATGCTAATTCCCATATTCTTTGTACCATGGCATGTCGCTTCTGTTTTCCAACATTTTTAAACCCATACTGTTTCTTGCACCAAGGCAATGTAGGTACATCTGTTCCACATGCACTTTCCTCAGATTTAATACATCTGTTAAACAAACATGCATGGTATGTATTGGATGGTGAACTGCTCACGAGCAGGGATTATGCCTAACAATTCTCATGGCATCTGCCATTTAAGAGACAGGGTGTCATGGCTGATTACAATGAGGGAGATGCAGAGTGTGTAGGGAAGGTGGATTGAATATTGTCCAGTGACTTTTCTTTCTTTCCCACCCTCATAGCACGGGCAGCATGAATCTTTATGGGTTGAAGAGTTGTTGAAGCTACACAGAGCTCGGATCACAGATGTTGAACACATCACCGGACTCAGCTTCTATCAAGAAAGAAAAGAGCCAATTTCAGACATTTTAAAGTTGAAAACACATTTGCCAACCTTTAACCAAGAAGACTGATACTTTTTTTTTATTCCAAAAACAGGACAGTAAATCATTGTGAAAGAGCCTTCTGTTTTATACATCCTCTATTTACACTGTTGCATTGTTTGGAGACTGTTGACCAGAGTTAGAACTGGGAATCCTCTGTGATACACGACCTTCTCAGGGAAACTTGTGGCCTCCGCGTAACAGTAGGAAAGTGTTCCTACTGAGTCTCACACATGTTTGAATGTGTAAGAATTGTTCAGATTTGGGAATAAAGACAGATCATACCTAAAACTGCTCTTCTACTTCTCTTAAGGGCAGAAGGAGCTGTGAACATTCTCCGGACACCAGATATTTGAATCATATTATCATTAATAAATTTTTATGATGCTGACAAACGCTAGACTAATGAATAGGGTTGGAGTAGACCATGTTTCATTAGTTTATCCACAGGAATTTAAAAGTGATTCTGGATTCTTTTTAACTAGGATATTCATTTATTTTCATTTTAATCAGAAAAGTATATGGGAGCAAAAATATTTGAAGCCCTATTTTTATCTCTTCTATACACCCCCTCAAAAGCTTACTATGTTTTAATTGTCACTGGGTTTCTTCAGATTTAATGATTCTTTCAGGTTAAACTTTAAGGGACCATCTGTATGGAGTGTATCTACCCTTTATAAAATTTTATTCTACATTTGTACCAAAAAAGAAAAATATTCCAATCTGATCACTGATAATATAGGTTGAAGATAACTCCAATAATTGTTACTTTATACTGTTAAAAGTGTGCCTTGTCTTAGTTAAACTTCATGGGGCTTGTCAATTCATGCAAGATAGCATTTTTCATCCAAATGATAGGAATGTTTTCCTCTATAGACAAAAATCACCCTACTAGCAACAGAGCTGTCCTGTTCTGAGATGTTCATTCTGAAGTTCCGTTGATTTGAAGAGAATGTATTACCATCATTTATTATCTTCTTAATACTCATGATAAATGAACTTGATTGTCTTCACTTTGTAGACTATATATACTGTTCAGCACCAACCTGTGAATGTTCAAAAGCTACATTCATTTTTTAGGCTACTTGAATCTGATTTAAGTGTTATATTAATACACCAAAAGTCTGTATTTGTCCTTCACATTCCACTTGTTCTTCAATAGCATAGGGGCCCCAAACCTTCAGATAATACAACTTGCATCTGGAAATTATTTACTAATTTAGAAAGTTTCGTTGATTTTTAGTCCCACAGATCCCTGAGGTTATATACATTTTTTCCCCCAGTCTCTTTTTTCTCTTTTTCAGATTGGGCAATTTCTATTGTTCTGTCTTCAGTTTCACAGATTCTTTCCTCTAATTCATTTTGCTGTTGAGCCCATTCATTGATTTTTATATTTCAGTTATTGCAGGTTTTTTTGTTTCTAAAATTTCCATTTGATTCTTCTTTGTAACTTTTATTTCCTTGCTAAGAATTTTTACCTCTTTGCTGAGACTTTCCACTTTTGCATTTGTTTCAAACATGTTCATAATTGCTTATTGAAGCATTATGTTGGATGTTGTAAAATCCTTGTCAGATAATTCCTACATGTGTTGTCTTTATGTTGGCATCTGTTATCTTTTTTCATTCAAAAATATTTTCCTGGTTCTTGTTGTAATGAATGATTTTCAACTGAAACCTGGATATTTTAGGGATTATGTTTGAGACTGTGGATCTCATTTACACTTTCTGCTTTAGCTGACTTTAGCAGGGGAATTGGGGGCACTATCCTATTAATGCCACGTGTTAGAGTCCAGGTTTTTTCACCCTCTATTGACACTTGGAGTCAGCAGAAACCCTTGTTGCTGGACAGAGTGGGAATTCAGTATCCTACTCTGTCTCCATTGATGTCTCCCTGCCTGGGATGTGCTAGGCTCCTAATTAGTGCTTCCACGGGGTCTGCACTGATGCTGTGGACAGGGGTGGCAAGGAAAGCTTTTTTTTTTTTTTTAATCACTAGTGGGAATAAAATCACCAGTTTCCTACTCAGCCATCTCTGATGTTCTCCTGGTAGAGAACTTGGGGCAACTCTTCACAGCCTGGCGAGCCCGTCTTTCCTGGCATGGTGATGTTTAGTTGGAGTGGAGTGGTTATCGTTTTGTTTCTTGCTAGGCCGCTCCTCTTCTGGTCCTTTGGCTGGAGAGATAGCAGGCCTTTCTTGGGGTTTCTTTTTGTCCTTACTTGTTGGAATATCCAGGTTGCTGACTTTTTTGGCAGCAAGTCTGGGATATATGAACTAAAAGGAAGCCCAGGGGGACTCATTGCAGTGTTGCTGCTTGGGTCTTGAGGTCCCTAGCCTGTCTGCCTTCTCTCCACCTTTTAGAATCTTCCTATCTTTTATATATAATAACAAAGCTTTTTATCTGCACTTTGCAGAAGGATATCTACTTCTTTATAGAAGTATCTTACTGATTTTTATATATTCTTCAAAACACATGCAGACACAGTTGCCTGTACATAGAACATCTTAGCAGATCTTAAGTGGATAGACGCCTTTCCCCTTTGCCAGACACCAGGAATAACAGAAAAACACAAGTTACAGTCTTTTCAGTCTTGAAGAAAGGGAGGAGACATCAGAAATGTAAATGATCCCACGAGTGTGGTAAATGTTCTAAAGGAGCCGTGGGGCAGGAAGGAGGCCCTGGTGCTCTTTGGCAGTGAGAGTGGGGGCTTACTAGAGGAGGGGACAGCTGGGCTCGGACTTGAGGGGTGAGTTAGAGCTCTTGAGGGGAATGGGTGTGGGAAGGGCATTTTAGCCTCCCTTGGATGCATACATTTTGGGCATTTTTCCATTTACTGCTACTGCAGATTATTTTCTACAAGTGTCACTGTGACCAGTTTACCATAAGCAGCTATTTCATTTTTTTGTTGTTGACCTCCTGTTCTTAAAGGAAATGTCAGAATATAAATTCTGCGCTGACTCTTTAAAGGGAAAGGCAAGCACACCTGTTCATACTTAGTTTGCACTTGCTCTTATACAGCATTCTTTTTTTTTTTTTCTTCTTGTCTGGAAAGAGACCCTTTCTTCTACTCTTTAATCAACTTAAAACATACGATTAGTCTCCAGTTTGAATGCTAAATTCACATGATCATGTATGAAAATGTTTTTATCTTACTTTTCTCAATAAAGGCTATCCTTTCCTTTCAAATGAACAGCAAAACTTTTATTTATGCCTAATTTTACTGCCCTATCTCTAGTCAGTACTTCTTAAATGAGGTAAGTAACTCTCATGCAAAATTTCCTACTTGGTTAGTTTAGTGTGGCAGAGCAGAAAATCAGGTGAAACCTAAAAATATTTCCAGGAATCAGAGCAAAGAGGGCAAGCCTTAGGGAGAATAGGTGAATGTTCAGGTTCTAGCGGGATAAGGAGATCCATAGGACAGCTGGGCTGATTGGTCCTGTTTAAGGAGATAAGACAGACCAGGCGGAGAGAGCCGAACCAGCGGGTCTTGCAGGAGGCTCTGACCCCCTCGTGACTGTTTTCTGCCGTTAGCTGCAATAACTGTCCCGCCCAGATCTGTGGGTACGTGTTTATCTATGATTGAAACTGTTGAACTTTGAAACTAAGTGTGATCACACTTCCTACTGAAGCCTAGCACAGGAATTAGGTATGTGGGTGCTTTGATAAGCACCAAGTAAATTTTTTTATGACTATAGTTCAAGGACATTTTCCCTGATTTTTTGGCCAGTCTAAATATTGTAAGATAGAAAAAACTTCTATAGAATAAGTATCTCTAAGCTAAGAAATGTGGATTTGCAAATAAAAGTTGTGTATCCAGAAGACTGCTGCTTTCCTGCGAGGATGTGTGTGTGTGTTTGTGTGTGTGTTTGGGGAGGGCGGGGGCAGGGAATGGGTGGGGCTGCATCTCTTTGGACTGCTATGAGTACAAGGGTTGTAGACAATTATCCACAGCTGTGTTGTCCGAAGGAGAAACAAGATCCAAAGTTCATTTCAGGTTCACAAAGTGAACAGCCATTTCTGATGTGTGACTGACTATTCTTGTTTTTTGGTATTTTAATTACATTTAGCTATATTTCAAAGTAAAAACAAGTAACATATATAAATGCAAGGCATATAGAAATATCTTTCCAGTATTTAAAATGATCTGAAACTAGAAGGAAAGACTCCAACTTATAACTTATATAAATTTTTTCAACATGAAATTTTCCTATTTATCTTCTCTATAATACATAGTGACTGGAAAAAAAAAAAAAAGATGTTTACTAGAAACCATATGTATACCAGGAACCATAGATGTATAAAATACAGTTAGTATACTAGAAATGAGTATTACACCTATGGGATGGTAAAAGGAAGCAATATAATCCTACCCAATGCGATTGTTTTAAATTTAACTTCATACTTGCCCCCAAGCACTCAATTCAAGGGACAATTTGAGGGTTTTAATAAAAATATCTAATGTATGATTTTTAAAGCTCATATCCAATTTCACTATAAATCAGAAATTCACAACTCAGCATAGACTTCAGCTTTCACAGAACAGAGATACAAAACAATTTAATAAATATACAGGAAATGAGTTTTTTACATCTTTTGATAATTTTGTCCAATGATGTCCAGGTATTTTTCACTATCAAATATCGTTTCTGCCTACACTTAAATGCAGTGGTTTGGGGTTTAAACAAAGGAAGAAAAACAGGGGTCTCAGTGGAAAGTTTATAAGCGAATGAAAGCTTGAAATGATTTTAAATAAGAACAAAATATTCTCAGTCCAATGAATAGATCTCATTGCTCCAATTTTCACAATTTAAAAAAATCTCAGATAAAACCTACAATTCTGAGTTCTCGCTTATAAACTATTATACACCTTGACACAATTTCACTGTCTTGAGTTACTCAGTTTTGTTAAGGTCCAAGCAGAAACAAGCTGGTAAATCTATGAGGCTTTTATTTGTGTACTATCTTGTTTTTAAGGTAACACAACTGATTAACTCAGTACCATACTTTAAGACCGCAACTAGATTAGATTCAATTAGAACAAAACTGACAGTAAGTTTCAAAGCTGGGCTTCCTCTGTTAAGGAGTTAGGCATTAGGGATAAACTGGGGAACAGGGCAGATGGGATGCCTGTCCCCTTCTATGGTACTTACTTAAGTTCTAGCCCAAGGCACCTTGGGGCTTCCGCTCTGCAATGCAGGAGACCTGGGTTCGACCCCTAGGTCAGGAAGATCCTCTGGAGAAAGGAATGGCTACCCACACTCCTGGTATTCTTGCCTGGATAATTTCATGGACAGAGGCTACAATCCTTGGGGTCACAAAGAGTCAGACACGACTGAGCTACTAACCCTTCACTTCCAAGGCAGATGTCCTTAGGAGTCCTCTTTTCTATTTCCCTAAGGGACTGGCCATGTGCTCATACCCTCCTAGACCTTGGAGACTGTAGACAGGACCTCCCCTCAAGACTAGACATTCCTGTGCAGTCGTCCCAACTGCCTGTGTTCCCTGACCTGGGCACAGTGTTGCTAGATGGCGTTGAGACCTAAGAGACTGTCCCCAAACTCCTTAACCCACTCCCATGCTAGGTCTAAGTACCTGGCTTGCTAAAGGCAGTCTGCAACCATAGAAGATAATAAAATAGTTTCAGGGTTATGTGGTTATAGGTATAAGAGGATTTTTAGCTTCCAGCTGGGGTTTCCAGGGAAAGACCTGGCAAGATCGTCTCCTTACCATAAGCTGTGTAAGGAAAATGAGAAGTCCCAAGGAGCTGCGTCATCTATACTTCTGTCAGCCTGTGATCTTCTGTTAACTTTGCTGACTGTATACTTTGAGTTTATTTCAGAATACTGTAACTTTGATAAGATGTGTGTTGAGTGCAGTTGAGTTTGCTGTTTCACCAGGAGTACAACTCAATACTGTGGGATATTACCCCCTCTCCCCCTCCCCTGCCCCTGTGGTTTGAATTGTCAACAAAAAATTAATCAATCAAAGAAAGAATTGGGAAATTTTAACTGAGTCAAATTCGAGGATTATAACCCGGGAAGAGCATCTCAGAAAGCTCTAAGAATGCTTCTGCCCATTAGAAGTCAAGGCACAGTTTACATAAGTTTTTTGAGGCAGAGTGCAAGTTGCTCAGTCATGTCTGACTCTTTGCAACCCCATGGACTATGGAATTCTCCAGGCCAGAATACTGGAGTGGGTAGTTTTTCCCTTCTCCAGGGGATCTTCCCAATGCAGGGATCAAACCCAGGTCCCCCACATTGCAGGTGGATTCTTTACCAGCTGAGCCACAAAGGAAGTCCTTGAGGCAGAAGGCTATATATGAAATGAAGCATTATTGATTATATAAACCAGATTTCAGCACCATTATGGTGGGTCATGTGGTCCTTTACAAAATCAAAAATATTATCTTCTAAGGAGTTATCTTGTTGGTACTAGGAGAATGTTGCTGTTTATGGTTGAATAGGTATTCCTGCTGATGGGGGAAGTTTGGTCCATTCGTAATGCAGCTACACAATGCGCGGTGCAGGGAGAGAGGAGGCCAAAGAAGACTTTTTTATGTTTACAATTTTCTTATCTTGCCATAAATATGAATTCCATTTCACATAACTCTCATTTGGTATTTAGCATGTATTTTGTAAATTGATGGATGGTTTTCGTGTATTTATTGTCTTGTCTCCAAAGTTATTTCTCATTGAGGACAGAAATAATCTTTATATTCTGTTTCTAGCACAGCACCTTGCATGCAGTAGCTGTTCAATTTGAAAAATGACCAAGTGAATAAAAACCAGTGAGATGATCCTAGCAAAGCATCCATTTAAGATTGCCAAGTCATCACAGGTTACAGAAATGCAGCTGAAGGACAATCACACCGAAATGAATAATTCTTTGCATCCCTGTTTTTAAGTTCCAGATGGAATTTTCAATAGAATATCTTTAAAAAGAGTTCATTTATAGATGTATTTCTAGTGCACAAAGCAGAGTTTTTTAAAATAATAGATCAAGAATGCCTTTCAAGGGCCATTCACAGTTGTTTCATTGACTGTATCCTGTGGAAAGTATGATGCCTGATGAGCTGAAAGCACAAGGGGGAACTTTTAGAGCTTTGTCAAGTGAAAACCCCTCCACAAAGCACATAGTGTTTCCCCAGTAACAAGCTGTCGTCATAAATATTCACCAGCAAAGGTGGATCTGCATCGCAGGGCCACCCAAGCGATGTAACCCACGCCCCAGGAGCGAAAACTTCTTCTTTTTTTTTTTTTAACCATACAAGCTACTTGTGTTTTATCACCAGGATACCACAAAGGCCTGGAGCAAAATCAAACTGAACTGGTTTAATCCAAGACCGTGGACAAAGAAAGCTAAAGGTCACTACTTTCCATGCCTTGATTTCTCTGTTTCCATGCCAACCCCTCAAGGATGGACACTGGCCCTGACCCATTCCTGTGTTTGTTTCAAAAGTACCTGGTGTTGAGCAGAGATGCTTTGCAGCTGTGCTGGGAGAGATGCCTGCTTTGAGAGAGACACAGCAATCAGCTGCCCCCAGCTGGGCTCTTACTTGACCACAGAACCATGCCTGCACAGGTGAAACCTGGGGGAGAGTGGCGTTCCCTCTGCTTTATCACCATGCTGAGATCTCCCCGCAGGGAGGGATTTGGCACAATTGGTGCTGCATGCAAAGGAGCTTGGAAGACTGCACGTGCCTGGGCTCCCCTTGAAATCCCCACCACTTTCCTGGAGCCCTGCTGACCTGTCTGCCTCTTGATCCTTAAAATTCCCTTGCTCCCTTCCCCTGGGGAAAAGTTGCTTTTGGTGCTGAAGCACCTCTTCTCTATTCTCTGGCCATTGACTTTTCATTCAATGGCTTGGTGTAAGTCTATCTAGCTTGCTCCAGCTGTTTCATTATTGACAGTGCAAACCTGAGCGAGAAAGAACCTCCTGAGTTCGGGATGGGGATGGGGGTGAAGGGAGTTCAGTTCAGGTAGGGCCCCAAGAGGGGCCCTCATATCTGATCTAGTTCTCATGTTCATCCAGTCCAGTAACACCTTCTGCAGTAGGGGAAAACAGATCAGCCTGGAAGGAAATAAGTAGGTGGTAACAACCACCCCAGAGCACCTGGAACAAATGGATTTCAGGTGACTTCCCTTTACCCAAGAGGAGAGATTTTCCTCTTTCCTAACTCTTCCTCCTATT